AAAGGAACCTTTATGAAATAAGAGTCTATACTTTTTCTCCCTGGTTACTTCAAAGCCCAGTATACCTTAAAATGTAATAGGAACCCTAGTAAGATTTGAGGTCTATTCAGTAATTAACGGGTTTGGGAGCCTTTCGGCAGGAGACAGAGGCCGTCAAAATGTGCGCGAACCCCCGGTCGAGGGCTCCTCGACTGCACTTCCTCGAATGGTATCTTTTTTTTTGGGCTGCGGGCCTATGGCTTGGGGTAGGTCTCTAAAATTTGGGTCCCTTTTAGGGTCCTGTTTAGAAGGGTGCCGTACTAGACCCGAAGCCACAAACCCTAAACCCCAAACCCCTAAACCCTGAACCTTAAATAAGAACTAAAGCCGGCAAACCCTTCGCAAGCGCCGAGGGTCGTCTTCCGATGAAGACGATGTCCTGGATCCCCCACTCTCTGGCGACCACCCTGCACCCTTTATCGTACACCATGAGTCCTAAGCCCTTAACCTTTGTCCTTACCCAAAACCGGTCTTGTCTTAGGGCACTTTGTATAAATCCTAGTATTTTTGGTGTTTTAGGACCAGGGTTTCTTAATCGGTTCTCTCAGCCCTAAACCCTCAGGGATTGTGATGCTCTCCATGCTCTCAGCCGGGATGGTGCGGAGAGCCTACACCCAAAGGTCCGATGCCATCAAGCAAACGAGAGCTGGCGATATTGCAGCACCCGTAGTTTTTAAAGGGTTAACGGTTTAGGGGTTAGGGTTTAGGGTTTAGGGTTTAGGGGTTTGGGTTTAGGGTTTAGGGGTTATTACGATTTAGGGCTTAGTGTTTAGGGTTTAGGGTTTAGAAGACCTCATGCAGCACAGGGAATTTAGGGTTGTAGGGGTTTAGAATTCAGGGTTTAGGGGTTTAGAGTCTAGGGTTTTAAACGAGGTTTAGAGTTTAGGGTTTCATCCAAAACTCTCACCTCTTAAGACTTCCAGTCTACCCCGAGAGCCCAATACCCCTTAATTAAGAATATACCTTAAATTAGAGGGACCTTAATATTACCCAGAGAGCCCAATACCCCTTAATTAAGAATATACCTTAAATTATAGGGACCTTAATGTTATGATTTAAGGTATATTTCTTAATTAAGGGGTATTGGGCTCTCTGGATACCCTGCTGAACTAAACCGTAAACCCCAAAGCAATCAAGCCCTTCTCAGTAGTCGGGTAGGTGACCATTAGCTTTCTTGGGGGGTGCAATAATCCCTATATCAATCCAAAGGTTACCCTTCAGTTCCCTAAGATACTGGACTGACTCCTGAACCCTAAACCCTAAACCCTGAACCCTAAATCCTAAACCCTAAAGCCGAAGCCTAAACCCGATAGTAAGCCTTCTCTGCAGAGGTGCGTTCATTTCCCACCACGGTTGCGCTGAAGCTGGTTTGGGTTTGGCTCGGTGGCTTGGCCTAGACCCTTTTCTATGTAAGGGTTCCTTTAAAGGGATCTATAGGGGGTGCTTAAGGTCCTAAACCCTGAAAGACCCCGAAAGCCAGGGACAGGGGCCACGGCTACGGTTGAACGAACTGTTTCTTCTTCGTTTGTCTTGGCTAGGAAGATGTTCAACCCGGGTTGAAGCAGAGTGTGGGGTTCGTGGTCTGGTTGCGGCTTTGGTGGTTTAAGTTGGCTCTGCTGTAGTATTTACGGCCTGGGATTTGTTGTTTTGGCTTCAGGGGTTGAAATAGGATTGGGGGTTTAGGCGCATTATGGTAGGATGTAGGTCTAAGGGTGGACAGACGGTTCTAGGTTCATTGTCTAGGGTCAGGTTTCAGTGTGCAGGGTTCCGGGTGTAGTGTTCAAGGGCTTGGGCGAGTTCGGGGTTTAGGGCCAGTGTTCTAAACAGGGGGCTTGCTGCACAAACTACGCCTGTACTGGTGTTGATCTCGGCTTCGCATTTACAAACCGTACAAATAAATAGTACAAATAGTCTTGTGCAACACGGGTAGCATTAGGGCACTAGGACCGCAAACGCAAAACCGTAAACTCTGAACCCAAAACCCTAAACCCAAACCCAAAACGTAAATGCTGAGCCAACAATAAAACCCTTCCCAGCCGGACGGTGGGCTTCAGCTCGATGTTCTCTACTGGCAGGGTTTTGTGTGTAATATCGAAGCCTAAATAATTACCAATATTATTCTTAGGGTTCCTCGTTATAAATATACTATAAAGGAGCCCCAAACCCTATTCTAAATATCAAGCCCCCTTTAAGCCCACCCCAATCCCTAATCTAAACCCCTTTAAACCCTGCCTGATCCTTAATCTAAACCCTAAGCCCCTTTAAACCCTACCTCATCCCTAACCTCTTCCCAAAAACCGCTTTAAGCCCCTGCTAAATGGGGGTTTCAGAGGATAGGGGACCCTAATATAGTACCCTAAATAGTAGGATCCTCATTATAAGGACCCCCAAGTAGGATACCCTAATTTTCTGAAACTCCCAAATCCCTAGCCCAATTTCTAGAACCGCTTTAAGCCCTACCCTTTCATCCTAGCTCCCGCCAGGAGAATCGGAGGCTAAGGGTTCACCGGCCGAGCTGGTCACCGGTGCCTCGGTTAGATCCCTAAACCCTAAACCCTA